TAAGAATCGCTAAAAATCGCTCAATATCCGTAAAAATCAGTCAAAACCCGTAATAATCGGTTAAAATCCGTTAAAATCGGTCGAAATCAGTACAAATCGGTCAAAATCGTCAAAATCCGTACAAAATCGTTCAAAATCGGTCAAAGCCCATTAAAATCGGCCAAAACCCGTCAAAATCGGTGTAATCCGTCAAAATCGGTCAAAATCGGTGAAAATCCGTCAAAATCGGTGAAAATCGGTCAAAATCGGTAAAATCCGTAGAAATCAGTAAAATTCCGTGAAAATCGGCAAAACCCCCTAAGAATCCGTCAAAATCGGTCAGAACTAGTCAAAATCGGTCAAAACCCTGAAGAATCCGTAAAAATAGGTAAACGTCAGTAAAATTCCGTATAAATCTGTAAAAATGCGTAAAATTCGGCAAAAATCAGAAAAATCGAGAAAAGTTGAGAGATGAGAGATGCGCAGAGGTGTGCTCTAATAATGCGATTCATTGTTATTTTTTATATAAAGTTATTGCAAGATTTTGCAATAACGAGTTATCGCATCCTGGATGCGATAAATAATGGGAATCGCAAAGTGGGAGTTATTGCAAAATTTTGTATTACTATTATCGCAAATCCACTGTCAGTGTAACCATGTGGTTCATCGTGGTTGACGGACTGATGGGGCTGACTGATACGTCGACTCACTTCCACGCCGCTTCGCGACCGCCAGGTTCAGACCCACTGTTGTGATCTTTCAGCCGTTCGCCCTAGTCTTCTGTCGTGGCTGTGTCTGCGTCCTGTGGTGCCTCTCCAAAGGCACAGCAGAACGCTATTCCGGCGTGTTCGTTGGCCGCGAGCCCCTTGGGTTGTGTCGTCTACCGCGACGCACACTTCTCGGAAACTGCCAGCCTGCCTGGAAATTACTTCTGCGCTTGGAGCGCGTGGGTGGAGCGCGTGGGTGGAGCGCGAAATAATTCCTTGAAAACGGCACTGGCTCTAGCCGTGCGCGCTAGCTGTAGAGTAGGTACGCTCTCCTATTTCTGCTCGGTTTCTGCGCAGGTGTCTTGTTGTCTTGTCTGACCCGCTGCTTCACAGCGCCATAGGACGCGAATCGCTACGACCTGGCTCGCTTTCTGTAAAACTCATTTCATCGCAGCGCTGCAGGAAGACACGCACGGTAAAAAAAGTTTCTTTTATTACCAGGTGTTTTCTTGGATTTCAAGAAACTATTGGTGACTTCAAGGAAGTTTCTTGAAAATGCGGCAATATACAAGACTGTGCCTTGGAACTTAGCGATTTCAAGACACAAGTCTTGTTATTCAAGACACCAATCCAAGACTCTTTCCTGAAG